CCCTGTCTGTAAGTCTGCCCATTTAGCTTAATAAGGAGAACATCTGGTTTGTAATCCAGTCTGTATTCAGCCTGCAGTAACTTTTACCAAGCTTCACAATTATCATTTCTGTTAAATTTGGCATTGCTTCAGAGGATAATGGCTACAGAAGCAAAATTGTTTAATACACAAAAAAAATTGGAAAACAATGATAGATGTGGCAAACCATAAGACAAAATCAAAAGAGCTGGTAGGTTGTTTCTTTTTTGTATCCACAGAAAACAATTACGTCAGGTATGTCTGTTATCTTAAGTTTGACATTATTACTATTTCATTGCTAAGATATGTCCTGCTTTATAACTATCCATCTTATGTTTTAGGGATTTCAGGATCAGAATGCTACAACACCTAATGTTTGAGCTGTTTTGAACTTTGTGTGTTTATTATAAATTTCAGAGGGGGCGCCCGTAGCCGAGTGGTTAAGATTCTTGACTTCAAACCACTTGTCTATCACAGCTGTAGTGGTTCTACTCAGGTGTATGTTTGTGCCTGACTGGCCTATTTGTTAGTCAATATTTTTAATTTGTTACTTTCAATTGGGAATTTTTTCCTGTGGATTGGGAAAATAATATACTTTTTTCAGTTTTGAATATGACCAAATATTGGTTATAAAAAAGCCAAAAATACATAAAATAAGTCATATTGCAAATAAATAATTGTACTTGTTTATACAAAAGTTAATATTTTAAAACAGCTCTCCTCCAACCACACTCCTACAGTAGGGTTGGCTCATTCGTTTGGCTTTGACTTTCTGTTTATGAATAAAGGGGACAAACTATTATCAGTAACTTACTCACGGTAGGGAATCACGTGACTTTTACGGTTACGCGTACAGACAATATGGCGGCCTAAAAACCTCGCTTCACATGTGTTTTTCAGGTAATTCTTTATTATATCCCTTTTACTTACATACGAGACCTGTTGCAGCCTACGCGGAATAAAGAATTGTTGCCGCCTATACCTTAGTTTCCACCCCTGTGCTCATAGCTTTTACAAACACTCAAAAATTCAACAGAAATTTTCAATGTGAACAATTATATTTCGGGTAACATTCACGCAAAATTTGTATTTCTTATGAAATTGATTAAACTACGTCGAGTTAGCAATGAGAAAATGTTCATAGAATTTCTTTATTTGAAAATGTAAATATTAGGCATGTTAAATGTTGACTGGTCATTTTCTATTCCAATACATGAGAGAAAAATGATTTGGGTAACTCCCACGTATACATTTATTGTTGATAACTCCCACGCAATATTTTATGGGCAAGCAATATCTATGCAGGTTATAGCCTATATATTGATTGAACAAAATCATGATTGATGCAATTAGCCTTAAACGTTCAAAGAATTTTGAATAATATTAAAAATACCGCCAAAAGGTCCTGGATAGAATAAAGCCCCTATGGATAGCAGAATACATACTCACGTGTATATATTAAATGAAGTTTCGATATAGATGAATTAATCACAGAAATTAAAATACAAGTCTCAAATATAAGAAGGAGGTCGATTTCAGTTTAAGCACAATAAAAGTTGTCATTTTTCATGGTTTGCAGATATGGACGGTTCTAGCTTGGATATTGTTTGTGGATAATGTTGGACACACTTGTCTTAATGACCACATAAACTGGCTACTCGACACAGGACCTTGTAAATGTTGTGGCAAGTCGAAACGTGACAGGTATGGTATTTTATGTTACTCGTTATATTAAGATTTTAAAGACATTCAAGTCATTTTATCACTTAGTCTTTTATGTAACCAACTTTTTTTCAAATTAGTGTCTGTATTTAACATTAATATGTTGTGTTTTTTTTAATCTAAAGCATAAAAGAAAAAAAAACCGAAAGAATAATAAAATCTTGAGGACTTATGTTTGAATGTCATCCTAATATTAACTGTAAAACCCGTAACGTTTCCGATTTGATGGGCTATAAAATGTTTTACCACAACATTTATAAGGTCCTGTGCCGTGTAGACTATTCATGTGGTCAATATTTGAGACCTATCCGTGAATGAAATGTTTCCCACATTAATCACAAACAATATCCGAGATGGAACCTTCCATATCTGCAAAATATAAAAAATGACAACTGTAATTTTACTAATATCATGAGGGCCATAGGCCCCGGAGCAGGGCCAGTTTAAACCCCAGGGCTTTTATTTGAACAAACTTGGTAGACACCCATTAGAAGATATTTCATGCTTAACATCTAAGGTCTAGCTGGTCAAGTTTTTTTCTTTACACATATAGTTAAAAACAATGACACACCTGGGGCAGGGCAAGTTTTGACCCAAGGGCTTTTATTTGAACAATCTTTGTAGACACCTTCTAGAAAATGTTTCATGCTTAATATCTAAACTCTAGCTATTCGGGTTTTTTCAATGAAGACTTTTAAGTTTTTGCTATACACATATAAGGAAAATCAATGTCAGCCCGGGCGGGGCCAATTTTGACCCCAGGGCTTTTATTTGAACAAACTTGGTAGACATCCATTAGAACATGTTTCATGCCAAATATCTAAGCTCTAGCTCTTTGGGTTTTTTAGAAGAAGATTTTTTAAGTTTTTACTATATGCATATAGGGAAAATCAATGACCCCCTGGGGCGGGGCCAATTTTGACCCAGGGCTTTTATTTGAACAATCTTGGTAGGCACTCATTAGAAGATGTTTCATGCTTAATATCTTAGCTCTAGCTCTTTGGGTTCTTTAAAAGAAGATTTTTTTAAAGTTTTTACTATATGCATATAGGGAAAATCAATGACCCCCTGGGGCGGGGCCAATTTTGACCTCAGGGATTTTATTTGAACAATCTTGGTAGACACTCACCAGAAGATGTTTCCTGCCAAATATCTAAGCTCTAGCTCTTTGGGTTTTTTAGAAGATGTATAAAGTTTTTTCTTTTGGTTGCCATGGCAACCAGAGTTCTGCATGGAATGGAATTCTTTGAACAACTTTGTTAAGGCTTCACACAAGAAACATCCCTGTGAAGTTTCATTATGATCTGCCTTATGGTTTCAGAGGAGATGTCGTTTGAAAAGTGTGACGGACAACGTACGACGGACGACGAGTGATCCTAATAGCTCACCCTGAGCATATGCTCAGGTGAGCTAAAAATAGAAATACAAAACCTCCTTCTAATATTTTAGACTGTTGTATCAAAACGCGACCTAATTGAATGATTTGGGTTTGGAAGGCCTTACACGAAGTTATTGATGTCCTTGGCAATTTAAGATTTTACAAGCCATGCCTTTTTGAAATTTATTTACCTATAAGCAGATGAAGTGTTGTTCGCCCCTTATAATTTTCGTCCCAAGACGATTCGCCAATTTAGTTGTATTAATTTTATATCTTAGTGATAGTAAAATTAAATGTGAATTAGTTTGAAAAATACATTAAATCCATTGCATTATCGAAACAAATATTGATTAAACTGTTTGAGGTTAAATTATAAAGATGAGTGTTAAATTTTAAGTTTAATTGCCGTGAATTTATAGGGAATAATAAGTCTATTTTATATTCTAGATCCTGGTCCTGGCTGAAATTTAGAGTATTACAGCTGTAGCTTCTATACCAAAAATTTAACATGGAAAGGACTGTTCTTGGGAAAATGCTGACGTAACTGATTTGAGCAGTTTTTCTTACCAATCATAGGTCAGACTTAAATAGCTTCTTTTTAAAAAGTCTTTGCTGTTTTTTTGTACATAATTTACTGTCAATATGAAACTTCAGCTGTATCTTACTTTCTATGCTTTTTTATTATGTAAATCTTAGAAGATAAGCATTTTAAGATAAAACAAATCACTAAGTTGATTAATTATATATAATTTGAGATTAACCAAGTCAACTAGTAACTTCTTATTTTATTTGCAGAAGCAGTAGAAGTATTCAAACACCATCATGAAACACTTAAGACATACCAAGAGAGCTCTAGAAGAAGTACTAGTGGTAGATTGGAACAGATTGTAGCTTAATTGTTAAACTAAAAGGACTTCTTAAATCGTTTAAATTGAAGCTACACTTGAACTGTAGTTTTGAAATAAAATAGCTGAAGTATTTAATAGTGTCTTGATTTTTTTTGTTAAACTCTGTTACAGTACTTTGCTTTATATTAGAATTAAAGTATGTTAAAATGACATTGAAACTTCAACGTTTGTTGAACTTCAACGTTTTTTAAACTTTCAAATTAGAACATAAATCTAACGTTATTTCAACGTTGAAATCTGACCATACTCTTCAACGTTGTTCATCGTTGATGTGCCTGCTGGGTTACTTCTATCAAGGACCTATTGGCGGTATTTTTAATATTATTCAAAATTCTTTGAACGTTTGATGCTAAATGCATCAATCATGATTTTTTTCAATCAATATCTAGGCTATAACCTGCATAGATATTGCTTGCACATAAAATATTGCGTGGAAGTTATCAACAATAAAAGGGTGCGTGGGAGTTACCCAAATCATTTTTCTCTCGTGTAATGGAATAGAAAATGACATGTCAATATTTAACATGCCTAATATTTACATTTTCAAATAAAGAAATTCTATGAACATTTTCTCTTTGCTAACTCGACGTAGTTTAATCAAATTCATAAAAAAATACAAATTTTGCGTGAATGTTACCCGAAATATAATTGTTCACATTGAAAATTTCTGTTGAATTTTTGAGTGTTTGTAAAAGCTATGAGCACAGTGGTTGAAACTAAGGTATAGGCGGCAACAATTCTTTATTCCGCGTAGGCTGCAACAGGTCTCGTATGTAAGTAAAAGGGATATAATAAAGAATTACCTGAAAAACGGATGTGAAGCGAGGTTTTTAGGCCGCCATATTGTCTGTACGCGTAACCGTAAAAGTCACGTGATTCCCTACCGTGTTACTAAACATAGCAGAAAAAACATAAAAAGCCTACTATTTTTCAAATTTATATATCTATGTACATTATTATGCATCACATGGAATCAAAAGTGTTTAAAAAAAGCCGCTGAAATGCGTAATATGACCTTGTATTGACGCATTATTATCAATATATCCTTTTTTTAATTCAAAATAAACACATATATAATAGATACAAACTTATCTGGTATTAAAGGCGGCAAAATAATGCAAAATTAGAGGAAAAAAATCATATGCGGTGTAAATTGACAATGGTTTCACGACAAAAATATTAAACTCTTTTCCTAAACAAGTATCATAATATTTGCTTATTTATGAAATTGTAAACTTATGTCAGACATTTTCGGAACAACAGACAAAAACAATACTAGTTTAATACTTGGTTTCTGTTCCTTATTGAAATTGCAAAAGAAGTCGTTCATTTACTAAATATGACTTATATTATATAAAGTAATCCATACAAATAAAAAGCTTGAAAGTATATCTAATTTGAATACATTGCAATTTAAATAATTACCATACAGAAGAAACAATTAAATAAAATAACTACATGTAATATAATTATATAAACGTAAATAGAACAATAAAATTTTTACAATAAAATTATTTTTTTACAATGTTAACAAAAGTAATAATATCTGTATGATTATTGAAGGCTGGGTTAAATAAAAGGTGTAGTTATACATGTATGTTTATATGAGTGCTCTAAGTTAGAGATGTTACAAAAAGGTAGATAAAGTTTAAAAAGACACAAAATGACAACGATCTTTTGTCAAAGTACATATATGTATTGGTCGGAAGGTTATAATTCACTTTCAGTTAAACGAAATATAAGTATTTAAATGCAATATGTTTGTATAATAATGTGTTACGAAAATTAAATGAAAATATAAAGACATTTCAATAAAACTGAAAACTCTTATCTGTGAAAATTACTATATCCTTATCCAACTTTTATATTCATCCGTGAATTATTTCGGTAAATTATTTTTATCTTTTGAATGATTTTATTTCGACAAAATTGTAATTAGATCAGTGATATTTCAAAATTATAGTTAATGTTTATATAATAATTATCAAATGGTAAAATTTCATCAATCGCTAATGCAGCCATTTTGTATTTTAAGTTCCCCTTGTTTAATTGTTGAAATAAATTTCTTTAATTTAGTATTCAATGTTTTTTCTTGTTTATTCTCTACTTGGTTTCCTTGTTTTGAACTCAATTCCCCGACAGTAGTCTTGTATCAAATAAAAAGGTTTTTCTTGAACACCGAATATATTCTCTTACACAGTCATATTCTGTTTCTGGTGTAATGTAGGCCATCTTTACTGTAACTGACTCCGAAAAATTTACCAGCACGGTAATAAAGTTCTGTAAACTTCCTGCAGCCATTTTTATATCCCTCAACTTCAAACATTTAATATTCAACATATCAATGACATTTCATATAGATTGATGCTCTCCAATCTCACATGAACTAATGACGGTGTTGATATTTTTTATAGTAACCACAAGGGAACGCCCACAAATATAGGTTTTCAAGAGTTGTGTGTTGAGACAAGTTCAAGTTAAATCTCATGCAATCATGACTGCGCCAGTGTTCTTTACAGTATAACCACGCCAATGATAACTCTTTCATTGATTTTTGACGGGAGATAAAATTGAAAAATGTGTCTAGTATTTTGTGAGAAAAACTAAAGTATCTAATACATAAACATTGTAAGTTATGTAATCGCGCCAAATTTTCACTCAGCTTTTCTTCATCAACTGTCCTTTTACCACCTGACAAAGTAAGATACTCTAAACTGGGAAACAATATCTGATCTATCTCAGCCTCCTTCTTCTTTAATATGTCACCACGATAGTAAAGTTTCTGTATATGACTGAGATCTGTCAGAGAGAATAAATCTATAATTTCACGTAAACTGCTTGAAGTAATGCTGGTGTTTATATAAAGTGATTTTACGTTGGTTTTATTTTGTTTTAGCAATTTTTGTAACTGCTTACTGTGCTCGGTGTCCTCGTCAATGAAGAAATCTTGTAAACAAAATTGAAGGTTTTCACTTTCAGGCATTTCTTGTAAACACGACAACAACATTTTCTGGATGTTATATAATGGCGTATTGTACTTGTCCTCGTCACCTGTCCTTGTTCTATAGTCGCGTGTTTTCTCGTCCTCATTTATCACAGACATCAAATCATTTGATATTGCACACATCCGGTCAGCATTTATTTCACTTGCATATTCACAAATTTTTGACATGTCCAGAATGTCCTCAATGTTTCTACATTTTTCTAGAACAATTTTCTGAGCGTCACTGTGAGAACTTATAAATATGGCGGCAAAGAATTCCTGTACTGTTTTGTGGGAAAACGAAACTTTACTAAACTTTTTTGTTAATGTGTTTGTTGTACTTTCTGACAACATTCCTGAGAGCAGAGTGAATTTCATCTCACATAGTGTAAGGTATTTTTTAGTAACTGATCCATCAAATACTAGCGTGTTTTCTCTTGTTTCATTGAGTAATGTATAATAAGCTAATTTCCCTAATTGTATCAGGAGTTTGAAGTATGTTTTACAGTTTTCATATTCAGCAAAGCATTCTGGTATGTCACTGGCAGGATGTTCCTGCGGTATTTGAAATTTGCCATGCTTCTGAATCGTTCTTAATAAGAGCAGCTCAACTATATTTATATAAAGATCACATTTTGAATTTCCTATTTGAACACCGTCACACCATAAACAAATTGTATATATCAAAAGTAGAGGCACAGAAGTAAGTTCAGCGTTGCCTCTACTACTGATTATTTTAATGAGCTTGGAATTTCTTTCTAATGAATCTTTATTTTGGTGTGGTCTCAATTTTTGTAACATTCTAATTCTTAGTGTGACTGCTGAGTCGTTACTTAGTTCTGTAAGTTCTATTTTTTTACCTAATTGACACGAATTTAGATCTAAAACACCTAATTTCCATGGTCGTGTGGTAGTCAGTATTATACAATTCTCTCGGTCATTCCTGTGGGGGATCGATCGTGGTGATCTGTTACATTTATTGTCGGGGTGGGTCCATTCATCCAGTCCATCGAGTATAATGAGGCATTTCTGTTTTTTCAAAATTCTAAGCAGGAATTCTTCGGAAAGCTTCTCTTCCAGACCCAAGTCTGAGATTATCTTTTCAAATATGAGATCATCTATAGAGCATAAATCGTCCGAATCTCGCAATGACACCAGGAATAAAAAATCAAATTTTTGCATACAGTATATATCATCCTTTAACAAATATTCATTTAAGTCTTCGTTTGGGCAATGCGCTTGACACCACATGATAGCCAGATACTTTGAAAATGCAGTTTTTCCGAGTCCAGCATCAGCGAGTACATAAATTTCGCGATTTTCAATATTTTTAGTTCTGAATATCTCTGATAATGATTTAACTGATTTTTTATTACAATATCTCAGTTCCGGTCTAATATAGAAAGAAGCCAATGGAGTGTCTTTCTCTTCGAAAAGAGGTGACAGGAAAACTTGACTGTGTCTTGTTTTGTAAAATGTAATCAAACCATGCTGTAGCTCTGAAATATAAAATAAAAACGCATATTATTAATACAAAAATTGAAATAGATAAAAAGAACAGGTTATATTTTGTAAAGTACTTTTGTCTAATCAAATTCAAATCTTCTTTGAATATTAAGCTTTTATTGCAATTATTAGGCAATAATAATCAGTGTGAAAATAATCAATTCTACATATTAATTTGATAATTACATTTTATTACACTGGTATACGGATTCGAACCTTATTACCCAATATTTATTCATCATGTTACATTAAATAGGCAGTTTAATATGGTTGTAAGTATTAAGGTTTTTAATGTGTCTTCTTTTTCAATATATACATTTGTATTACGATGGGAAAAATAACTAAACCAGGCTTCCATCGTTAAAAAGCATATAAGAATGAAACAATCAATAACATAAACACATTTTTAGGTTGTTTGTGTTAATATTTAAATATTTGATTTAGTTTTAGTCATTTGATACTATCAAAGAGTGAAATTTACCTTTTTAGAAGTATTCTTGAATATAATTAACTAGTACTGACTTGGTACCGAGAAATTGCTCCTCATATTTATTAATAAAATACAAGACATTATAGATATAAAATTTGTTTTCTTATCATTCATGTAAGGCAATAAGGCCATAGTATTTTTAAGGCCCTCGCCGTTAAATTATGTTGCCGTTATTCAAACTTTTATATTGAACAATTCATTATTACGAACAAGCTCATATGGGTTTCTTGTTCCCTTTGGAAAAATTGTCGGGTTGGGAACGAAAATGACTAGCATAATTATGTTTTATTTTATGAGAAATCTGCGTTATTTATTATGACAATTTGAGTTATTTGTTATCCACGATATATAGTGTGCATATCGCAAGTAGATTAACCTGGAAATATTGTTATGCAAGTTCTAAAAATTAGTATATGAAACTCTTTAGTTATGAGGATATAAAAAAACGAGAATAAAGATCAACAAGGAAAAGGCAACATTCACAGGACGCAGCCATAAACACACGCAAGCTACCACAGCCGACACCCAGAACGCACCAAACCAAACGGGGGAGTTTCAGTTTTACACCCCCTAAGCTTACGAGTTTCATGTGTTTTAAATGTTTTATCGCAATTTCATACTTTATTTGTAACAATAAACAGCAGGAACATTATTATGATCAGTGCCTTTTCCGTTAGCGTGTTTTTGTTTTGCTGTTAGGAATGTGTTATAGCCCAAGTTCCAATCTCTGTAAAAAAAGCTACACTGATATAGATATAAGACGAAAAAAAAACACCTCAACTGTTATATATTAGTTGAGTTTTTTTCCTATACGAATAAATGAAAAAAACTGTACTGTCATATATCAATATGGTTTTTAATTCCTCATTGAAAGTGTTTTGAATATACATGTAGTGCGTTAGCAAGAACAAAGAAAATATTCCGAACAATGCAAACACAATGCTTCTTGTGACAGTATTATTCATATAGGCAAAGTGCTATTTGAGCATAAATATTGAAATCAACTCGATTTTTTTAATGTCTTCAATACACTACTGCATCAGTGTCTTTCAAATCAGGGACCCGACTGCATCCATAAAGCAGCAAAATAAAGAAAAGTGGTGGGTTACTGTTATAGTAAATATTTATACCAATAATGAATGTCAGTAAAGTATGCAATTCTCCGTATGTTTGCATAAATGCTCCATGGTATTAATCCGAATAAAAGCTTGGATTCTTAACCCGCTTTACTCAACATTAGATCCGAATTATTATTTACCGGTACAAATGTCCGAGCTTTTTTTCGGTGCTCTGATTACAAATTGCAGATACATATTAATAGTAAAGACGACTACATTTATTGTTAATGCGTTTCTTTATTCAATAGTTTAGTTTTAAATAATTAATAAGCAAAACAAACCCTTACCAAAATATTAATAAAACAATAAAAAAAACCGTCAAACTCCTCGTTTACGGCTCTCGTTTGGAGTTTCTTCCTTATGTATTAAGTGAACTGCAACTAACACAATTTAATAGCTATTTCATATGAAGAGACAGCCCGTCATTAGCTACTTTAAAATCATATCGCGCGAAATTACAATAAAACGGCACGAAAACAAGCTTAAAGGCCATAGCATTAACGCAACAGTACAAAATACTGATTGTGGGGGTAAAGATCAACCGAATTATCCGATTTCCCCCGCACTGCGCTTTGGATCGAAACTAGAGTGGAATTGGTCATGCTTTACTCAATCATAATGTTGCACCCTTATATGCATTAAACCTAAGAATGTAAAATCCTAACGTTAAAAAGCAGAAAAGGAACTATAACTGTTGCAGGGCCGGTTTGTTTGAGTCTGTTTTAGTCTGTTTATGAACAGTTTTGGTGAATGCGTCATCAATGTCACTAAGCACATACTAAATCAAAGCTTTACATTGAGAGTTAATTAGAATTAATAAAAAAAAACGTTACAAAGGTTTTTACCGATAAGCCCTGATTTCGTGCATTTGCTAGTCACTCCTGAGGAAAATACATTTAGTTCAAACAAGTACATGTATATAATATTCTTGTCTAAAATAAAACAAAAATGTAAACTAGAGTCAGCAGATATTTAGCTAAATTCAGAAGAAGATTTAGTAAACTTGCTGTCAGGAGAATGGAAAATAATCCATCTCATACAGCGTAGTAAACGACTGTTCATATACAATCAGTTCACAAACTGCACGAGAACCATATACAGTTGAATTCTCTCGATAATAAACATCATTCAAATTACGATCCCTTACAATTACCAACAGACGATAAAATGCATCTTGGCTACCAAACGACAATTGGCGCATGTTCAAATATTAAGTTTTTTAAGTTTTTTTCAATCTCTCGGTTGAAATATGACCCGTACTTCACTTCAGTGTTGTTATATTTTCTGGTCCTTCGGGAACATTGATGCCAACACTATAAAGTGTTGAGAATTGAGTACCGCTCAAGCCGGTGCTAGGGGGCGTGAGGGATGTTGCACTTATTCATTATCCCTCATGTACAGACTCAATCAAACCGTGTCTGCAATTCTTATGTTATTTTGTTGTGATTGATGCTTCCGAGGGATCACTTTGTTTCCAGAATTTTGAACTTCACAACAGCAGGTGTCAAGTGCCGTGTGGCAGCCGTAAAAAGTTGCCCCGTACTTCACTTCAGTGTTGTTATATTTTCTGGTCCTTGTCGGATCATTTTGATGCCAACACTATAAAGTGTTGAGAATTGAGTACCGCTCAAGCCGGTGCTAGGGGGCGTGAGGGATGTTGCACTTATTCATTATCCCTCATGTACAGACTCAATCAAACCGAGTCTGCAATTCTTATGTTATTTTGTTGTGATTGATGCTTCCGAGGGATCACTTTGTTTCCAGAATTTCGATATGTGTGAGGCTTAAAGTGATGCCTAGTGTTAAATGAAAAACGTGGAACTTACTCTCTTATTGCCCTAATTGAGCTGAACCTTTCAAGTTATCATAATTGTGATCACACCTCCTTGTAACAAGCTTTCAAAACAATATAACACTAAATACAATTGATCAAAATTACAATAATAACCCAAAAGAGTATTAAATGTATTTTATTGTACCAACGAGATTTGTTATTTGGTCTGATTACAAAATCAAAGGTTATATAAAATTATTTACTCCAACATCTTCGTCAAATACGACGGAAAAGGGCATGTAACTTTTAGTAAACTCAGTCTGCAAATCACGGAACCTGAAAAACCCTTGCATGTGATCTTTTAACGAAAGTCTCAGGTACATACAAAAAAAAGAAAATAATAAAAAAATGAGGTAGCCAAGTATAAGTGAGGTTTACGAGAAAGATTATTATAATAGAAAATATTACATTTCATTGTTGTGTATAATTACATTCTACTGTTGCAAATATTATGCAAGCATCTCTTAAGATTGCCCATGTTACACAAACAAATTTGATAACTGAACAACGGTATCCCCCCCGCAAAAAAATCGTCCGATAGGTGACCTTGTCGATTAAGGGTCGGAATCCAGTATGTGTTCCTAGAATAGAAACCTTACAGAAAGGTAAATAGGAGTAAATATGATTGATGCATTTTATAAAAAAAACTATATTCTTCATTAAAGACAGGATTATCTATTCTTTACGCTGGTGCTAGAAAAACTTTTCTTAGAACCCCGTGTAAGAAGACAAGTCGCGTGCTTTATGCCCCGGTCACATATTCACGGATAATGCCACGGAAGAGCTACGGTCTAATTGTTCACGGATTACTACGGAAATGTGAAATTCCGTAGTTCGCTACGGTCCCAGTACGGACACACAACTGTATGAGTACGGAGCCCGACGGATTTACCACTAAAAGTCCCGGGAGAGACACGGATTGTTACGGACTGACACGGTTTGATACCGAGCGACACGAATCAGGACGGACGCACTACGGATACACTACGGTCTGCTACGGTCTAAGCACGAGTTAGTACGAATAAGTACGGTCTGATACGGAGAAGAACGAACTGATACGGAGAAGAACGAATAGCCACGGATCTATACGGACCTATTATATCCGTCCACAACCTCTTGCATGCACACTTTCAAAATGCCTCACAAGAAAAGAACACCTATAAAACAAATTGCATTGTTAAATGATTTTGACGGAAGGGATTTGGCCTCATCGCGTCCGACCCCCGAGACATATCAGGCCCGATTTAAGTGAATTTCTTGAAGGACACCGGATCCTCAACAAGATCGACCATGAGAGCCTCATACTAAACATGAAGGGGTATTCATAAAAGCCCATCTCTAGTTCACCAACACCTCAGTCTTTTCTTACCTGATTACATATGGACTAGTAATCATTAATGAAAAATGTTCATCAATACTGTTTCTCTTTGGATTTTGAAATTTGCTGTTCATTTTTCAATTACATTAATTATCGTGGATGTTGATGTTTTAAGAATATGTGAAAAGCTTGTTAGTTAATCTTATTATCTTTCAAGGGCCGAGGCTTATGAG